GGGGTCCCTCAAGGCTCCATTTTAGGGCCGGTACTTTTCAATATTTTTATAAACGATCTGGATGTAGGAATAGAAGGTATTTTGAGCAAGTTTGCCGATGACACCAAACTTGGAGGAGTTGTGGACTCGAATGAGGGTGGAAAGGCCTTGCAGAGGGATCTGGATAGGTTGGAGAGCTGGGCGATCGCCAACCGCATGAAGTTCAATAAGAGCAAGTGCCGGGTCCTGCACCTGGGACGGGGAAACCCTGGCTGCACGTACAGACTGGGCGATGAGACGCTGGAGAGCAGCCTAGAAGAGAGGGATCTGGGGGTCGTGGTAGACAGCAAGTTGAATATGAGCCAGCAGTGTGCCCTGGCAGCCAGGAGGGCCAACCGTATCCTGGGGTGCATCAAGCACGGCATCGCTAGTAGGTCGAGGGAGGTGATTGTCCCGCTCTACTCTGCGCTGGTGCGGCCTCACCTCGAGTACTGTGTGCAGTTCTGGGCACCACAGTATAAAAAGGACATGAAACTGTTGGAGAGTGTCCAGAGGAGGGCTACGAAGATGGTGAAAGGCCTGGAGGGGAAGACGTACGAGGAACGGCTGAGGACACTGGGCCTGTTCAGCCTGGAGAAGAGGAGGCTGAGGGGAGACCTCATCGCAGTCGACAACTTCCTCGTAAGGGGGTGTCGAGAGGCAGGAGACCTTTTCTCCATTAACACTAGCGACAGGACCCGCGGGAACGGGGTTAAGCTGAAGCAGGGGAAGTTTAGGCTTGACATCAGGAGGGGGTTCTTCACAGAGAGGGTGGTTGCACACTGGAACAGGCTCCCCAGGGAAGTGGTCACTGCACCGAGCCTGTCTGAATTTAAGAAGAGATTGGACTGTGCACTTAGTCACATGGTCTGAACTTTTGGGTAGACCTGTGCGGTGTCAAGAGTTGGACTTGATGATCCTTAAGGGTCCCTTCCAACTCAGGATATTCTATGATTCTATGATTCTATGATTTCTGGGGTGATTTTTCCTTTCCTAGTATAAGCCTAACTAATAGCAGAATCAGAACACAAAGGTTTACACATAGTCTCTTTTTTTCCCCCCTTTTTCTCTCACATTTTATCACTCATTTTATCTAGTCACTCTGTTTCTCACCATTTAAATGTCAGTGTTTGGTAATATGATACTAACTAGTAGGTAATAACAAACTATGGTATGTTTCCATGATAAGATCTTCTTGCATTTTATAGCTAAACATTATATGAATGTTCTCTGCAGTACAAACATATGATTTTATTTAGCATACTTAAAAATATGATTTTTATCTATTTATTTATTTATTAACATCCTCTTTAGCCTACAAGTGTCCCTCAGTCGAAAATACATTTCTTTTGATTGATCACTATTGCAAGGCTGGAATTTATGCTTCAAAATCTGTGTCTGTACTAATCTTTTTTTTTATATATATGTATTCCAGTGAAGTTAAAATTATTAATATGATGCTGGCAGAGATGCTGACATGAGGTGTTGAAAACAAAAGTTTTTGAATTATTAACGAAACTAGAAAGGCAAAATCAGATGATTCAATGGAAATTGAGATCTTGAAAATACCAATTACAGGTACTAAATTTTAATGAACTTCCAAAGTAACACTGAAACGCACCATTTCATTTGCTGTTAACCTCTTTGATATGTTGTTCTTTGGACTTTTAACTTCTTTAAGACAGGGTGCCTCTTAATGACAAGGACAGGTGACCCTTACATTTAAGTTAACAAGTTTAACAGGAACATCACAGGAAAGGTACAGTCAACAGGGGCTAAACATGAAGCAATATAGCACATTGTTGTGGTTAGCTGTAGGCAGTTAAACAGACAGCTGTTTGCTCACTCCCCCACAGTGGAATAGGGGATGGGTGAGAGAACAGGGGTAGGATAGAGAACAGGGAGGGGGAGGAGAGGAGGGAGGGAGGCAGCTGAAGCAGAACTCTTGGCTGGGATAAAGACAGTTTAATAGGACAGAAAAGGAATGGAAATAATAATAACAACAACAACACTAATATTAATATATTAATATTAATATAGAAACCAAGTGTTGCACAATGAAAATGCTCAGCACCCGCCAAATGATGCCCGGACAGTCCTGAGCAGTGCCCTCTCCCCTCCATCCAACTCCTTCCAGATTTTATTGTTCTGCATGCTGCCATATGGTATGGAATATCCCTTTGGACAGTTTGTGTCAGCTGTCCTGGTTCTGTCCCAGCTTCTTGTGCACCCCCAGCCTCCTTGCTGGCAGGGAAGCAAGAGAAACTGAAAAGTCCTTGACTCCATTTAAGCACTAATCTGCAACAATTAAAACATCAGTATGTTATCATAGAATCATAGAATATCCTGAGTTGGAAGGGACCCTTAAGGATCATCAAGTCCAACTCTTGACACCGCACAGGTCTACCCAAAAGTTCAGACCATGTGACTAAGTGCACAGTCCAATCTCTTCTTAAATTCAGACAGGCTCGGTGCAGTGACCACTTCCCTGGGGAGCCTGTTCCAGTGTGCAACCACTCTCTCTGTGAAGAACTTCCTCCTGATGTCAAGCCTAAACTTCCCCTGCTTCAGCTTAACCCCGTTCCCGCGGGTCCTGTCGCTAGTGTTAATGGAGAAAAGGTCTCCTGCTTCTCGACACCCCCTTACGAGGAAGTTGTCGACTGCGATGAGGTCTCCCCTCAGCCTCCTCTTCTCCAGGCTGAACAGGCCCAGTGTCCTCAGCCGTTCCTCGTACGTCTTCCCCTCCAGGCCTTTCACCATCTTCGTAGCCCTCCTCTGGACACTCTCCAACAGTTTCATGTCCTTTTTATACTGTGGTGCCCAGAACTGCACACAGTACTCAAGGTGAGGCCGCACCAGCGCAGAGTAGAGCGGGACATTCACCTCCCTCGACCTACTAGCGATGCCGTGCTTGATGCACCCCAGGATACGGTTGGCCCTCCTGGCTGCCAGGGCACAATTTTTTTTTTTTTAATTTTTCTCCTAAATCCAAAACACCGCACCATACCAGTCCCCATGAAGAAAATTATCTCATCGGAAACCAGGACATGGGTTTAGACGATATCACTAAAGACAGAAAGGTGAAGGAAGAGACATGTAGAAATAGATAACACTGGCTTTCCTGAAAGAAATATATATATATATATATATATAACACAAGTGAAGTGCTCTCCTACAAACTTGGTTAATTTTTAACAAAGGTATAAGCATCTTTATGAAGTTTATAATGGCAGTGAAATTACAAAGTTCTTTTCAACAATTGGCATGAAAACAGAGTCCTCACTTCCTGATATTTTTTTCTGAAAAACACAACAAAACAAAACAAACCCCTACAGTTTCTACTGCTCCTAAAGAGCTGTTTCATGGTGCACTAGTTTCTATCAGGAAATTTGTTGAGTCTGTGATTTCAGGAACCTTTGGGAAAGGCAATTTTCTTTATGGAAAAGGCAAGAAGGAATCATGACAGACTAGTGAGATGAAAAGCTTTACCTGAGACTAACCTCTATCCTCCAAAATTTTACTTGTTACAGGATAGTTACTGCTCTTCCTTTGAACTGTAGGCATGTATCTGTAATCAGCAGCCCCAGAGGCAGATGCTTTCACTGATTAATCACTGACTTCAAAAACTGCCATATCCTCATGTTGGATTATCTCCAGCCCTTCACAGATGATCATTTGTATTCATTCATGTTTTATCTGGGTCACCAGCTTCCAGACATTTTTATCTGGGGCCTTTGGGAGAAGATTCTAATGTTTACACCATTTTTTTATTCCCTCTGACAATGTCCTAACAAATGTTATCATTTCTTCTTTATTCTTCATTTTTTTCTCTTGATTCTTCTTTTATGCATAATTCCTTTCCCCCTTTCATTACTTTTTTTTTTTTTTTTTTTTTTTGCATAATTCTTTAATGACACAGAAGAAGAAATCTATTAGAAAGCTATCTCTCTAATCTGCTAAGGATTTGCGTTCAATTTTTATTATCTATTTATTTATTTATTTTCATTCAATAATTCCAGTTTTTCTGTCTTTGGAGAGTCATAAAGTCTTGATCTATACTGTTTATACACTTCCAAATCTACAGGTTTGGAAATCCTAATTCAAACTCTAACTCAATCTAACTCAAAAGGGACAAATTACATTTTCTACAGCAGATGTAATTAACAAGAATCTCAATTTTTATGTGGGGATAATTTCTTATATAATATGAATGAGCAGCAATAAGAACAGCTAGTCAAAAAGTCTCTGCTGGAGCTGTGTGCAGTAACTGAAAGACAAATGACTATGAGATTCATTTGGAAACAGAAAGGAGTGAACAAAGTATTTATTTCCTATGGTCTTCTTTCCTTTGTGATTCCTTTTTTTAATAGCTATAGCGCACATGGAAATGTGAAGTTTCCTGCTTTGTGTTACCATATGTATGGACTAGTTCAAAATTTCCATATAAAATCAAATAATTATTTAACAAATTATTTTAAAAGTTACTTATCTTTCTAAGAACACAATCAGAACATTTGCACTTTCTGACCAGAAACTACTATAAGTGATACAGGAAGGAATAATGATAATTGAGGAGAGGTTATGAGTCTAGAAGAATAGAGGAGGGATTCAATCACAAATGTGGATTTAACTTGGCTTATAATTACGACCCACTAGGTTCAAAATACATCTTCAAAATGATTTTGAAAATTAATCAGAACAGTTGTTAAGTAGGGGAGATTAATAGAAAATCTGTAAAATTCTCAGCTCAAGACCTACTTTTAACACTTACAGTATGTATTTTTAATCAATAGACACATACATATCCCTTGCTGGAATTTGTTACAGTACCCAGATAAAGGAAAATTAATTACTGTTTTAAAAGCTGATACTACCTGATAAGAACATTTATCTACTAATCATTTTTACAAGGCATCAATATTTAACTATTTGGATGGTGTTAACTATTTGCATGGTGTTCTTTCTGCTCACGTAAGTCTTACCTAGAAATCCTCCATTTTTGTTCACTGACAATGAACACAGGAGCTGCAGGGAGCTGTTAAGAAAAAATGTAAGATTTCTACACCTTTGGAAGGGAACAGTCTTCTAAGATTAGAAATCCAAGCAAATGCGGCAATTTTCTCTCTAAAACATGACTATAGTCAAACACAAGAACAACAAGAACTTTTTTTTTTTTTTTTTTAAATATTTACTAAAGTTATTTAATAACTTGTAGGCATACCAAATTAACATGAATAGTGAATTATCTACAGCAGCTAACTAACACAAGGTCATAAGCAACAGTAAATCAGGTGGGATTATACCTATTAAAAAGCCAAGCAGGTGGTTCTCTCTCTCTCCATATGTACATACTGCATCTTGCACATGAACAGCAAAAAAAAAAAAAAAAAAAAAAAAAAAAGGAAAAAAAAAATAAAGAACATGACTCACTGCACTAGCATTCGGAATCCTACATCATTTTATTGTTTGCACCAAAAAAAAAAATAAAAAATAGGTGGCCTTTCTTGCCAGCCTTAAGTTACTTAAACTACTATTTGGGCAAGGTTTGGGCAAGGTGCACTCTGCACCTGCAGATGTTGCCAACACAAATTACTGCCTTAGTTCATGTAACTAAGGACGTCCTCATGTAAGAGGACGGTTACTTGTTAAAGGCATAGATACCTGTAAAACTCATGCAGAAATAAATGCACAAATAAAAGGATTTGCAATGTTGGTGTCTTGTCTGTATTTACTGTCCCAAGTAACTTTTTATTTACAGTATTTACTGTAGCCTTCTTTCCAGAAGTTTTGATCATTCATTGGATCCCAAGATTTTACTGGGAAGTGAAAGAATCATCTGAATCATCTTAATATTCACTGAAGACCGGTATTCATTTTATACTTTTTACTGTAAATTAAACTCAACATTAATTTCTGCTTATTCTGTTCTCATTGAGTGCTTCTTCTAACCCAGACCACCTTACATATTATGAAGAGCACAGTGAAACATTCAATAGTTATGTGTTTTGTATGATAGAGGTAACATAAAAATCTTGTTTGGGGAAAAAAAAAAGTAATGAACTCTATTTGTCATTGTTTCCCCCTTAACCTAGTTCTGTAGCATATTTTGTCTAATTTTCAAGAGCTTTCAATAGTATCTATGATTTCTAGGTGCATCCTAAAAGAAGACAGTAATGTTCTTTCAGTACTTCTGGAGCTTTTATGCTAATCCATTCAAAGAAGACTTGGTTGCTTGGCAAAGATAGTGTTAAAAAAAGAGCTGAAAGATGCACAGAAACATAAAAATTGAATAGTAAAAGGAGAAATCTGGCATAAAAAAATACCTACTGCATAGCTTACCTAGTTATGATAAGTATTTTCAAAGTGTGAAGCTATTATGTCTGATGTGGAGAGAAAAGCACAATAAAATCTATAGCTTGATAAGAAAATTGTTAAGTTGTAGATCAGTTCCCCAAAGGACAATTCTTTATTAAATTAAATATGTGAATGAAAGCTACTCCTGTCACCAGTAACAGACGAAATTGAGGTAACTGCATACAGTAATTGCACTGTGAGGGTCAAGAGAAGAAACATGACAAAATGCAGAAGTAATATAATGGAAATCATAAGAAAGAAGAAGAAAAAAAAAAAAAGTAAATATACTAATTACTGCTTCAGGTCTTCCTATGCTTTGGTTACTTTTAAAGAATAAATAAAATAATATCTCAGATGAAATATCAGATTAAAAATTCAGTAACTTTAAGGGAGTTGTTTAAAATTTGAGATACAAAATAAATTTAAAATAGCAACATCGCAGGGCTTTGAGAATAAGCATTAAATTCACTACTGAACAGAGGCCTGTCCTAATCATGTTCATTATAATTCCCTGCCCTGTAATTCACAGTAGTATAGATGGGTTATGTTTAAAGTAAGCTCTGAAGCTTACCTAGTTCAGTCTTATGCTAAAGGAAGGTTAAAATTCAACCTGAGATGAAGTTGTCCAGCTGAGTTCTGAAAATTTGTCAATGATGAAAGCAGATATTGGGAAAACTGGAAACATAAATTTTAACAGTTTGAGCTAAAAGGACAATATTTTAGCAACTCTTATGTACCTGTATATATTCATATTTTTCCTGAATTGAGAAAGATGTGTGCTTAACCCACGTTCACCAGTCTGCTACACTTGTAATTCATCTTTAAAAGAGATTAAGTTAGTTCCAGCCTGTACTATGTAATAAAAAATCTTGTGCCATACAACTAGGTCTTGTAATGCTGAGAGTTATGCTGACAAGGGCAACTTTATAAATGTCTGTACCTGGCATTAGTTAAAAAAGAAACATAAGCCCAGCAGCATACCAGCTGATTGAAGGAAAAGACTCAAATTCAGAATGAAGTTTGGGAAATAAATTACAGGAATCAAAGGACAGTAGAAAGTAGTTTACATTTTTAAAGTGAGGAAGACCTGATGAGACAGCAAGTATCCAGTACAGAAAATTCATTGCATACACATATAAAAAAGCAAGACATAAAGAATAAGCTACTGCCAAGTTGTGCTCCACATTTTGTTGCCAGCACAAGCATAACAGTAGCAATAGCAACTGGGGAAAGGTATTGACTATAGAAGAAAACTGAGAAATCTGGAAAACAACAACAACAAGGAAACAAAGTGAAAAAAGAAGCCCTAAGCCCCTTCCCCCCTCCCCCCCCCCCCCCCCCCCCCCCCAATATTAAAAGTCAAAGACTCAACAAGATTATTCTTTTTATACTATATGCATTTCCCCCATCTTTTTTTTTTTTTTTTTTTTTTCAATGGAGATAGAGATCCCTGTGTTGAGATGAACACCACAATCTGCTGTCATTGTAGCTCCTGAGTGCTGGGACAGACTGCCTTTGAAGTCCAGGACCTCAACAGGGAGAAGAGAGAAAATGGGAAAGGGGGACTCCAAATCACACCTTCCTGAAAGAGGTCCTGAAAGAGCCCTTCTTAACGCTCTTAACAATTTAAACTAAGGGGACACCCTGGATCAACCTTGTCCCACCCCAATCCCCACAGCCCTGCCTTTCCTGGCCTTGGGCCCACCCACAGGCCCATGTCCTGTCCTGGCTTTGGCTCATCCCTGTCTCTGGGGGCAGTCCAGTGCTGGGGCTGCTTTACTATCCCCCGCTACCCTGTTCCTGGTGGAGTGGTGGGACTGGCCTAACTACAAGGGCCTGCTCTGATGGACTAGGGGAGTCCCTGTGGTCCCTGGACCCTACAGCACCCTGACAGGCTGCTGCCAAGGATCATGAACAAAACAGCAGACCACCGGCCCTGACAGCTTTTCACCTGTTTTCAATCTGTGCTTTGGCTTGCTGTAGTAGCAATATCAAAATTACATAAACACCAAAGAGGAACAAGAAGATAGGAGTTACTTAATTATTTTCACTTAAGTTTAATTGTCAACATTTTGAATGGTAATTTAGTTTTCTGAGTTCTCCCCATCCCTCTTTCTTCATAATGTTGGGACTCCTGCCAGATTTTTTTTTTTTATTTTTATTTTTATTGCTTTAGGTTCTCTCTGTGCTGTTTGGAAATGAAGAGTTTTAATATCTGAAAAGTTTAAAATCCATTTTAGTCAAGAGACTACATGGATTGAGGATACCATTTGAAAGCTTAGCACTTTATTTGGAGAAGGGAGGAGTGATAAAAGGACCCAGTTCATCTCAGTACACTGAAATCCACCTTGACAGATTTGCATATTTATGCTACATAGAGCCACTGCAATAAACACATTGTGCAATATACAAAAAATAAAAATAATAATAATAATAATAATAAAGTCTTCAGGGCCATTTGGACTATTAAAAGGAAAGATATTGGAAGGAAAACCATAAAAAGGGGTTGGTTGTTTTTCTTCTCTGCTGTTGCTGATCTTTTGTTAAAACTGGACCAAAATAAATAAATAAATAAATAAAGTAAATCTTATTAGACAAGATGGAAGAAAACCAGCAGACAGAACTGACAAGAAAGAGCATGTGGAGTTTTAGATACCATAATCCATTTATAGGTATAGTCATTTTCAGATGAATATTTCTTAAGAAGCCACCTGCAAACATTTGCAAAACTCCCTGCAGTTGTCAGCTGTATTGGTCTAAGGAAGTCTCTTACCTTTCACTGCATAAATGCTGACACCCTGCTTTTTTCTTAAATCCACAAGCCATTCATTACTGACAACTTGCCTTCAGCCTCTGAGGTACCTTGGTGACTAGAAGATCTATTCTAAGTTCAGAGTTAACCATCTAATGTTGTGACAGGTTTTTGCTGCTGCTGTGTTTGTTTGCAGAAAAAATAAATAAATAATAATAATAATAGAAATCTTCCAACTATCTCATTTGAATCGATGTCACTATTTTATTCATCTGGTACAGCTCCATACCACTCATAGATTTCTTAGTGCCAGTGTTTTCAGCATTATAGCTAGCATAGTTAATGACTTTGCATATCATCATGATCAAAAACTTTTGAATCTGCTCTTTTCCTGTTATACCATATCGCTGAATACAAACAACAACAACAAAAGACAACACACCAAAACACAAAAACACAACTCATGGTGAAAAACTGCTAAATGATTTGTGATGGGTTGAGTGAAAATGATTCATATTGATTTTCCTGGAAGGCAGCATTTTTCTGCATTAAAAATTAATGAACAAATTACTGGCCATTCCTATAACTTAATCCTGCATTTTAACAGTTAAAAACACTTCTACCAACTGCCCATATTAATAGAAATGGTCACACATTTTACTTAGATAAAAGCACAGCTGGATATTTATGAGACACCATTTTTTTATAAATGTAGAAATTCAGTAATTATCACTTTTGTGCAGTAGTAATAAGCACAGCTGGGGAATGCTTCTGCTGCTGCTGTTTCATTGGCTACAAACCTAAACTTCAGACTTATAGGTCCTTGCTTGTTCTCATCTGTTTCTTTATTCTACATAGAAATACACATACACACATACAAAACTAAAAAACTAAAATGTCAGAACATCACAGTGAAGTCTGTGCCTGATCCATACAACTAGTGGTTGATGACATGTTCCAAGGCTAGTGGAGTCAGCATAACTGTCTTTCTGCCTTGGGATAAAACCATGAACATTTTTCAGAACTGAATCACTGAAAAGGCTAAGTAAAAAGCTGAA